GTTAATTAATTTTGATATTTGAAGGCTATTCAATGAGATCAAACAATTAATTGATTGAATAATTTTGTTTGTTTTATAAAGGTTTTCTGTTTTTTTCTTATAATAAAAATTCCATTCATTGTAACATAATTTCAATTTTTATCACAAATAAGTGAAATAATCTCATAATGTGTTCTTAATTTACAAAAGACTTCTTTACAAATGTCTGTATCGTATAACATGAAATCTTAAGTTTAAGTGATTGTTATGCAATAACTAATTATACTCGGTTCAAATGATTACACCTCTCGGTAGTCATTATTACATTTAATATTTGTTAAGAATTTACAAAATAATTAATAAATTTAGAATAAACTTAATATTTATTTACAACACTTTATTTGAAACATTCATTTAAATAATTCATTTTTAAGAATTACTAAACAAAACATACAATTAAACAAAAATAATATAAATATTGTCGATATGCTAGTGTCTGTAGACTGCGAGGACGGGTGGCTTTTTATGTCGCCTCGTCTTACGGAATCTCAAATACCAAACCAAACCAATGCCCACAACAGTAGGTATTACAATGAAAACCCAAACCCACGTAAAGACACTGATCTCATGGGGCTCTTTGTACGGCCCATCCTCTTTCTGGACACATTTGTTGCCGTTTGTTATATCCTCCACATAACTGTCCCCACAAACACACAAACCATTCCTACATTCTCGGGGCATGTCGTGAAATGATGGACAGACACTTACGCTATCCGTTGAACAGTCGTAATACAGACACTCTTGATCTTTTTCACTGAAGTAGTAATTGGGGCCACAATAACAAGAGTAATCAATGCACACCGTTAGGCTGTCCTCACATGGGGTTCTCGAGGAACAGTAGTTTTGCACTTTATAGTTGTCCCCGATTCGAGTCGGCTCTGGGTTTTCATTTCGGTTATGAATCAATTCAACATTTAGTACTAATATAGCAATGATTGGAAATACGAGTTTGAATACCAGTCGTAACATTATTTGATGTGTCAATCAAATGATAGAATATTATATACTTTAGTTATATTGTAATTAAAATTACATGAGTTTAAGATCTTTAACATGGAAAAAGTTTGCGACTTTAAGTATTTCTAATAATTCATTAATTAGTTGTATTAACTAAATGCAGAAGTTTTGAGTGTTTACTCATTTTATGATAAAAAGTAATTGATTCTAAGGCAACAAATAATTGTTTTTTATTTTAATTTATCATTATCATTTTCTCATGTACAGTATATGGTTCTTTGGAACACAAGTATTAAGTGAATACTTATATTTAATATAATGCTTTAGTACGTAAAATAAGATAAATATAACAATAGGAACAATATTTTAGTTCATATTATATGTAAGAATTATCTGTAAAAATTTGTAATTTAATTTAGTGAACAGTCACTTCTTATCCAGATACATTTTTCTCGAGACAAATGCAATTCAATTTGAAGGTCTCCCCTTACTTGATGTATAATATTTAAATAACATTTTGGATGACATCATTTAACTTTTCAATACAATTATGATATTAATCTAAAATTTATATTCTAAATAAATCTCTTAAATATGAACAACATAATAATAAATAGATTTTACCAAGGTTGTAATACTCAAAATGAGTCATAAAACTTAAATCAATTTTTATTCTACAAGTTATAAAATAAGGATAAATTTCATTTTCAAAAACATTTCTAAACCTACAATACAAATAACCATAATAGCTAATGGATCACCACTTGGCCTGTTGTTGAACACCATTAGTGGTTTGAAAATATTTAGGCGGCGGATCATAGGGTGGTTGAAATTGGCCGGGACTGGCGTACTGTGGGTTCGCGATTAGGATTTGTGGTGATCTATGGGATAGTATTCGCCGCCGTCTGACACACATTCCGATTCCAATGCACGCTATCAATGGTATGATAATGAAAATCCAGGCCCAGTACCAAAACCCTGTATCGTCGTAGTATATGTATAGATCAGGGTCGTGGGTCTGTATATAATTATAATTAATTAAAAATATATTATTTCATATTATACATTTATTATCGTAAAATAATTACTAATTATTGATAGCAAATATATTATATAGTATTATTATGCAGTATACTGTATTGTAGTATACTACAGTTTAGTCTTATCCTACAATCCTATAATTAGAGAATAATCTAAAATATTATGGAGAGAGAGAGAGAGAGAGAGCATAACTTACGCATTTTTGTCCGTTATAAATGTCAATATAATATCCAAAACCACACTTACAATGGCCAGCAATACATGATCTATGTGAATCATGTTTGGGATTGCATTGATATTTCGTGGTTTTATTTGTTGAACAATTATACCGTTCACATGTATTGCTTGTCATGTTAAAGACATAATTTGATGCACAATAGCAGCTTTGATCGACACAAACCGTATGATTTATAAGATGTCCAGGGCAGTCATTATCTGATATACAGTGTTCTTTAACCACATAATCAGTTGCTTTATGAAATCGAGACAATAGTTGATCTTCTCTATTGCTTTGGGTTTGGGTTTCAATTGAATTTTGACAATAAATTAATGAAATTATATTAAGAAAAACAAAAATATTTAACAATATTCTCGACTCCATATTAGTAGGAAATATGTGCTGACAATGATATGACTTATTAACTATTAGCTAATATAAACTAATAATACTAGCCAATGATTTGTGATTACTCCTTATTTGTTAAATGTTATTATAATGTACGGGTATGACTGAATCATAACGTAATGATTGATTAAAATAAAGGTTAAAAAAGATACTGTAATATTATAGATTTATACAATGTATCACAAAATACTACAATATTTAAATAACTTTAATACTTTTTAACAATTTTGAATAACGTATTTTAAATTCTTAATTATACTATGACATATAAAATAATAGTGATTATAATGTACAGTAAAATTAAATCGTTTATTATATATTTAGAATAAATAAGATAAGTATAATTTATTATAATCATAATTTTTTAAATAATTCAATAAATAAATAATATTTTTATACAACACGCTATAAAATAAGTAGAAATACATTTTAAAACATAAAATATAAATAACCAGAGTAACTAATGGATCACCACTTGGCCTGTTGTTGGACACCATTAGTGGTTTGAAAATAATTAGGCGGCGGATCATAGGGTGGTTGGTATAGCCCGGGACTGGCGTACTGTGGGCTCGCGATTAGGATTTGTGGTGATCTGTTGGTTAGCATTCGGCGGCGTTTGACACACAATCCGATACCAATGAATACAATCAATGGTATGATTATAAAAATCCAGATCCAGTACCAATAACCTGTCCCGTCGTTATAATTGTAGTATGTATCAGGGTCATACTTCTGTATACAGTAAATAAAATATTTATTTTGTAAATAATTGATATATATATATATATATATATATATAGTATATATATATACTAACACATTTTTGGCCATTATTAAAGTCAACTGAATATCCATAATTACAATTACATGAACCATAACTGCATAACCTATGTGGATCATGTTTAGGATAGCACTGGTATTCTGTGTATGAATTTTGTGAACAGACATATGATTGACACGATTGACTCTCGTTGTTGTAGACATAATTTGGTTCACAATAGCACTTGTCGTCCACACAAACTGTATGTAGTCCGGGACATTTATTACCCGAAGTACAATATTCTTGAATCATAAAATCAGTTGCTTTCTTATAAAAATATGTTAATTGTTTATCTTTTTCATTGTTTTTAGATTTATTTTCATCAGAATTTAGACAATAAATTAATGAAATAATATTTAGACAAACAAAAATATTTAATAATATTCTCGACTCCATATTCGTAGAAAATTGTGTTGTCAATGAAACCACTTAATAGCTAATAATTTGTGATTTGCTATATTACTTATTGTTTGAAAATACTTATATACACAGTATATTGAATCATAACGTAATAATTGATTAAAATACAGGTTAAATAAGATAACAATATATTTCGATTAAATGTTTATGACTATACATATTATACTCAACATTGAAAGTCCTAAATAAATATTTTAACATTTTGGTAGTGATATTTATTTTAGTATTTGTTAATTATTATATTGTATCTTATTTAATTAAATCAAACAATTTATTAACTCATATCACTATATTAAAACATTTTGACTGATTAATATAAATATTTAAAATTACATTAATTTTATTATATTTATACTAGACTAATAAATACTAATAATGAAATTGTAAGAATATTCTAGAATTAAAACTATAATGTAAATTATTTATGCATCTCTAAATCAAGTTTTATTTTATTTATATAATATTTTGTTAATTTAAAACTTTTTTATGTTTTTATAAGATTAATTTTATTACAGAATACCATTAATCATGAATAATATTTACAAGAAACTAATTTTTAAACAACTCATTCATATTTAATATAATTGAATTTTCTTTAAATCTTAAAAATTACAAATTTATCTAATGTTTAGCGTAGATATGCTGCGGCTGTTGATGGGGTACAGTGTCTGAAGCGGTTGTATACTGAGGAGGGACAACATTTGAACCCATTTGTTCGGATGACCCTGATATTTCCTGACTCACATGATAGTTATTATGATGTGAATAAGGCACCATTGATGGGGAACTCATATCAGAATTTGTTGAATAGGTATTTGGTGGTTGCAATTCAATAGCTTCTGAATAATCAGGTGGACTGGGACCAGGAGCTGCTGGAAAGGTATGTGCATATTGATCGTGATGTGTTGGGTAATTATTAGGATCAAACCCCATAGGTTGCCGAAATTGATAACCATGATGAAATCCAGGGGCAGGGAATGAACTGTGAAATGGACCTGGAGCATTTGGGAAGTGACCAAATGGAGGACGTGGACCTTGTGGACCAAAACCACGGAAACGTGGATGAGATCCCGGTGTGAAGTTATAGGGATTGGGTCCCGGAGGCTGTGTTGGATAAGCATTGTTTGTGGGATAATTGGGTGCATCCAAATTAGGTTGAGCTGGGTGTTGTGTTTGGGCACTATTGGACATCTGTTGTAACTTTTGAAGTTGTCGTCGCTTTTTGATACATAGACCGCATATACAGAAGAAAACAATAGGACATACAATGACAGCCCACATCCAGTTCCACATATTACTACTTGTGTCATTTATCTGGAAAATAACAAATAATAGTGCTTAAAATTTCATAAAGACCCAGCTAATCAGTAACATTTACGGGTTAATTAAAATTATAATATACAACAAGTTAATAAAGTATACACAAAGGTTTTTACAAATTAATTGCTCACAAATGATTAGTGTAATTTATAATCACAAAGTTTACTTACACATTTGTTGCCATTATCATGGTCCTCAACATATCCCTGGTCACAAATACATGAGCCGTAACTACATTTTCTATGAAAATCATGTGTGGAATAACACCAAGCTTGTGTGGTTGTGTTTGTTGAACATGAATACAATTGACACGAATTCTTCAGGATATTATAGACATAATTTGGTGCACAATAACACTTAGTGTCCACACAGACTGTATTATCACCTGGACAGGTATTATTTGGGAAACAGTCAGGTTCGATCGATCGATCGTTCACACGATCAGTATCTTTTGTTTGGGAATCAGAAGAGATATTTTTATTATGAATAAAATGTATGGATTCTGTATTGTTTAAATCAATACAACAAACTAATGAACAAGTATAAAAACACAACAAAATAATTAATAATATTCTCGACTCCATATTTATGAAAATTTGTATTGGCAATGAAAATCGACTTAATACATTATGTACTAATCATAAGTGCTTATGTAGTGCTATGTATCTCTATAGTTAATTGTTTGATAAATCAAAGCTTTGTTTTTTATAAGTTAGTCATAATATGATTAAAAGTTCTAGTTTTTATAATTATAGCTAATTAAGTTGAATATAAATGTTGCTAAAATTACATTAGATTTTTAAGTACACATAAGATATTTGTAAGAATATTATTTGACTTTATTGCATTATTTTATTCAATTAATTAAATGAAATACTTTAAATTGAAAACAATTTATTATAGTTTTTTCTGACGTTTTACTTAACACAATGATAACAATAAGTGTAATAGGTTATTTTGCAGTAATAATATTTTATCAATCGATGAGTTCAGTTATAATTAGTTTGATTATTAATTTACCAGTATATGATAACAACTTATTAAATTGTTTTTATAAAGAATAGTGTATTAATATTTATTGTTATATAATGTTATAGTTCATTAATTAATATATACAGTACTGTATAATAATATAATATATTATTATTATAATATTATTATAAATACACACAAATTATCATAAATAAATTATTTTCTAGTAATATAACTGCAAAATTTAAAAAACTGTATAAACCAATTCAGGATCTAGTTCAAAATTGTAACAAGCTCTCAATAAATATTTCTATAACTAATTAATTTCTGTAAAAATTTTAAATAAAATTCTTAAATAACTTGCTGATGATGTATATATCCGTGCTCATTCATCGAATTATTTGTATAATACTGTCCTACAGTCGAAATACTAGAATAAGGTGGTGGTCGCGGATATCCTGTATGTATGGGACGCCTATTCCTTCGCCTCCTTCTGATACAAACGGCAATACTGATGGCACCCACAACGGGGATCACTATAAGCACCCAATAGCTGCTATTACTCCAATAACATGGTGTGCATCGACACCAACTGTTACTGTCGGGCCGACTACTACTACGACTACTCGTCCCGATCGTGTCTATACGGCAGTTGTCACTCGTCGGGCCACTGGTGCACCGAAAACGGAGACGTCTATAGACACTGTAATTCCGACGGCAGATGTGTTTGCGATTCCGGGTATTCCGAGGACACCACCAATGGATACCAATGTGATAAGACTGTCAGTGTGTGGGCCTGGGTTTGGATCTTCATTGTATTGCCGATAGCTATAGCCATCGCTATAGGAGTTTGCATTAGGAGGAGACGTATGATAGCGCAGCCAACAGTAGTTACCATTCAACCGCAATATCAGTCAGCATACGCGCCCCCACCTAACTATACGGCCTCAGCTTCCGTTCCCCCACAGTATTCACAGCAACGGCAACAAGTTGTTTATCAGTATTGAGATATTTTTGGTTTATTATTTATAACTTTATATAATTTTTGACACTTTTTTTTATACACATGTAATTGCTATGAATATTCTATTATTTTATTAATGTTTCATAAATATTACTCAA